TATATATATCATGTACCAAGCAGGGCATTATAATCTACGATACACACTTGTAACTACGGATAACACACCATACCCCCCAGAATGAAGTAATTCCGTGCCCATACAGCCTTTACTAAATCACGCCGTCTGGCAACCGCCCCTTCTACAACAACAGTGTCGGAGCTCAGCAGTTCGTCAGGTGCACCTGTGGAGTCGCGTCTGTGTAGACTACCAGTACTCAAGGGGTTCGGCAGGTGATTGGGGCTTAACAGGTCGGAACCCACGTGATCCTGCTCCATCTTGTATGTGTGTTTCACTTTACTTGAATGATGGAGGATGTGTGTGGTGTGATGTCCGTGGCGTGCCTGTGCCTCCGGCATTCATCTACTGGTGTACAATTTTGTTATATATTTTAAATCCACGATCAAAGTATTTGCGTGTTTTTAAGTATATGTGCATATGCCTGTCTCCTCATATGTTTAGGTATATGCGGATATGCATAGATACTATTTAACAGTCGCGAGTGAGAACAGGAGCCACGTCAGGCTGATATATTCAAATACTAACTGAATACTTGTGAACCATAAACTAGTGCGCAGATAAATATCTAACAAGCAAATTTTTGTGTTTAAAAAAAAAACGTTTATCATCAGAAATAATATAACCCCCCCCCCCCCTGGACTAACGATCTAAATAATATGATTCTAAATATGTACCTTGATAAAAAATATTTCTAATACTTCTTTACCATAACCTTCTTGATACACATTTTTACTATTTATAATAACAACTATAGAGCTTGGCCTTGAAGACAGAGGGGGAAGGTCTCTAAATTATAAATAATCACGACCCTCTCCTACTTCATAGTAGTAAATTATGAGGGAGAATGGACGAGAGAGTAGAGTCCGTAGGAAAGTAGAAGACTAAATACATACTGAGCTTTCTAAAATAGACTCTAAATACGTTAAATATTTATTTATGAGTGTACCCCTTTTCTACTACAAAATGTTTAAAAAAACTTTTAAAAGACATCATTGCGTTTCCGTTCAGCGATTACGGCACAGGGGGGACTGGGGACTGGTGGTGTGTAATTCGAGTTGAAGCCTGAAGCCAAAGGTCTCTATTCTAATCTATATAGTAAAATCTCTATATGTAGTAGTATAGTATGTTATTTTTAGCACAAACCCAACTTCGTGATATTTATAACATAGTTTTGCTCCCTCGGGCTCCGAGTCCCGACATAAATAATCTGCGATTGATCATAGCCTTCTGAATCCAAAAGATTAAATAGTACAATCCTGAATTTAGCCGCTGTATGAATAATACTAAACCGACCACGATACCCCACAGTGACTAGAAGTGTATTTGTATGTCAAACAGGGAACACCTTCACGTAGGACAATAGCTGAAATGACTCAGCCAGAACGTCAAAGCCTCGTTATATCTGTAACGAGTGCGAAGTCATTACCCAATGTTGATCCCAAAACGGATGTGCGTTTAGAAGTGTCTGTGGGCAAGTTGAAGGCCAGGAGCTTGCCTGCACGCACGGATAAGCAGAAGATCGTGAAATGGGAATTTCTCTGGAAAGATTATCCCAATGCGAATGAAACTAGCTGTGTTATCAAGGTCAAGAAGCACAACCAGTTCACTGGCTACAGTCTAGTAGGCAGCGCCGTTATTCCCTTGAAGGTGAGAATGACGCACGAACCTTTACACATATCGTATATTTAGTCATATCTATATACCCG